GTGTGTGTGTGTGTGTGTGTGTGTGCGCGTGCGTGTGTGTGTGTGTGTGTGTGTGTGTGTGTGTGTGTGTGTGTGTGTGTGTGTGTGTGCGTGTGTGTGTGTGTGTGTGTGTTTGTGCGTGGTAGAGCACAATACTGACACACGGCGCGTGTCCGCGCGCATGCACGTGCGCATGCGTGCACGCGTGGAGTGTCCGTGTGCAAGCACGGGCATGCAACAACATATGAGCGAGCAAAGGGCCCAACGACAGATCGGGAAAGAGGCGACATACATCAGCTGTCACCAAGTCAAGGCAATCAATCAGAGATGCTGCGCGCTCGGTTTCGTGATGTAGCATGACGTACCCAGCCGTGCCAGGCTTCATCTATGATACGATCACAATTGTCTGCATTTGTGTGAAAGCGCTTCCGCCAGCTGCCTGCTGCAGCTCCCGCCTGCCCCCCCCCCAAAAAAAAACAAAATCATCCTTCCACCTGAGATCGTCGCCAGCAGGCGCCTGATGCGGTTGATGACGGCCACCGCCTGCAGCGCCTCCTCACGGCTTGGGCGGCCCCCATAGCGCACGCTGCCAGGCAGGCTCTGCAGAGCGGTTGCATTTGGGCGCAGGAGATGACAGTTGCGCGAGGTAAGGGGCATAAATGCAACACAGCGTGGCAGCAATTGAATCAGGCTGCAATAGTGGAGGAACCACGTGTCGCGGGTCACTGAGGACCACTGCAAAAGAGGGCCCATCACAACACGTGGAACGCCTTGCCCAAATGTACCCCGAAAGTATTTTGCAGCAGCTACCTTCTGCGGCTGTGCGTGGCCAACTCCCGACCCACCTGCCAGGCCTTGAGGCAGAAGCAGGCCTCCTCGTTGTCGCCAAGGGACAGGGCCAGGTTCTGCAGCAGGGGGCTCATCAGCGCGGCACCGCCAAAGCCTGCCAGGGTTGATGTGTGAAGAGGGTAGAGCAGGGTATTGAGATGCCAATAATGACGGCGTGTACATCAAAACGTTAAAAGCCTTTCCGTCGGGCCTCACCCCAGCCGCTCTGCCCGCCCACCTGCCGCGCCGGCCCCCCTCTCTGCGGCCTGGCGCACGGCTCCCTCCAGTGCCAAATCCAAGTACAGCAGGTCCCTAGTGTGTGTGTGTGTGTGTGTGTGTGTGTGTGTGTGTGTGTGTGTGTGTGTGTGTGTGTGTGTAGGTCGTACAAAAACAGAGATGGTGGTAGTGATACAGGGATCATGTGTTTGGTGTGCAGCCGTACTTTTGGCAAGTTGCAATGCAAGTGCTTGCGCAGGCGCGACGAGTGGTGGCTGCGGAATTGAGCTGATGAAACCTTGGAGGAGTGCACAGTGTGTGCTGAGGCAGCGATACAACCAGCGCCACATGGAGTCAGGGAGCGGGGAGGCTCACTTGTTCCCGGCCACCCCCGAGGCGATCTCCGTGCGCGCCTCCACTGCGGCCTCAATAAATGGCAGGATCTGGACCGTTTGGAAAGGTTGGATCAACAGGTGGGAACAACAGGCCAGCCGGAGTGTGCTAGGCTGCTTAGTGGTCGCACAAAAGCTCATGAGTGCATGCAGGCCGGCAAAACAAGGAGCCGGACCTCCCTGCCCTGAGACCCCGTTCCCCACCCCAGGAGCCCCTCAAAAGCGAGTGCTTGCCGCCAGCGCACCTGGCTGTCCCCAATGTGGCTGGTGACGTAGCCAAGGTAACCGCGCGCACTCTGGGGCAGGCTGGACCCCACCGCCGCCGCACTTGCCTGAGAAGGCCAGGGGGTGAATAGTATGCATGGGGTTCCAGGGGGCAAGCCCCGCGCGAGGGCCCCAACAAGGGAAGGCATCTGCAGACCGCAGCAGCCCGCCCACCCAATCACCAGGTCGCGAGGGGCAGCTGGTCTGTGGAAAAGCAAGCACGCAACGCGCTCCACCTCCTGGGTCCCGCACTGCTACTTGGTGACACGCACAACCATGTGACTCTGCGCTCCCGCACCCTCCGCGCCTGCGGCGCCCACCTGCAGGTCTGCTCCACTGTGCACGCTCTTGAGAATTCCGAGATAGTTGCGGAACTCGCCGATGAGCGCATCCTGGAGGGCGTATGGCCGATACAGGGGGGTGGATGACATTCCAAACCACAACGCACAACAGCAACAACTGTGCGCAGTGTTGTGGGGCGGCAACGTCCAATACACAAACCCCTCGACAGCATCACCCCTGTTGCTCTTGTCGACCACAGTGTTTAGACGCAGTCCCACCTTCTTGTCGCCAAAGAACTGCGGGGGCGTCTTGATGGGCCTGTCGAAGCTCTCCAGCCGCTGCCGCGTGATGCCGTGGTCAGAGAGCACGCGCCAGTAGCGGCCCTCGTCCCCATTGGACTCCAGGAAGGCTATGTACGCGGCGCAGATGGGGACGTCGTCGGGGGTCGTGTTGTTGTGCAGCTTCTGGTGCCACTCCTCCATCCAGGTGCCCTTGAGCTCTGGGATGTGGTTGCGGTGCATGATGTGCAGGATCTCGTCCCTTGGGGGTGGGACGCACAGGGGGAGCGGCGAGGAGGGGGGTGAGCGGGGGCAATTCACCAAAGAGACAGCGGGGGGTGGGGAAAACGGCCGGCCGGTGGCGGGTGAAACGCTGCAGGGAGCAGAGCAGAGCCATGAAAGTTCTGGAAAAGAATCATGCAAGCTTGCCCTGCCTCAATGATGAAGAATTTGCTTGGCGCATATGAAAGTGGTGCGCTCACCTGATGCGCTGGCCGTCTCCGCCACGGCCAACAGTGGTGAGCATCATGCGCACCCACTCCTGTGCCTCCCCGTTGGTGCGCTTGTGGGCCTCGGCGATGGTGCGCGTCAGGCGCTCCTATTGGAGAGCAGGTGACCGCGAGATGGGTGCGCGAGATGGGTAATACTAGGCAGGCACCTGTGTTGGGGTGCCAGATAAGCCGGTAACATGCTGTACGCGGATAGAGGGATACTGACAGACAGCATCAACCATACACATGCCACCATGGCCGACCCTACCCGCGAGCATGGCCTCCCTCACCTGCGCCCCCGAGAGCATGCGGGGCTGTGTGTTGTAGTTGCGCTGCCACGTCAGCTGGCGTGTGGAGCTGTAGCGCAGCCAAACGTAAATGTCGGCCATGGCCTGGGCGGGGTCCACCTCGAAAAAGCCATCCAGGATCTGGGGCCGATATTTCATGGGGGGGTGGGGGGCGGCGCACCGCGTGGTTGAAGCAGAGATTTGAAGGAAATTTTTAAATGGACATGACTGGCAACCATGCTTACATGCAACAGTGATACAAAGGATGCACACCAAATTTGCGGAATAAGCAGGGAGGCCACGCCTTCAAAGGAGCCGCACAGGCATGATAATGTGCATCACTGCTGGCCTGCAAAAAGCTGACCACACCTCAGTCCTGCGGCCCTGGCGCCCTCACCTCGTTGATGTTGTCCGCGGCCTTGTGGAAGCGGTGCATGAGGGTCCAGTGGAACGAGTTGATCTCCGCGTTGAGGATGACACGCCACAGGTCGTTAGCGGCGCTGGGTACAGGGGGCCGACGGTGCAGGCAGCAGATGTGGGCAGAAGTGGGGGTTGAGGGAACTTGCAGGGCATGCGTATCTGCACAGTTCTTGGCGGAGCGGGTCAGGAAGAGGCAGAGCTGGCGGGCAGACGCTTTTGGAAGGAGCTTTGCAAGCAGGGACACAAGAAGGCCGACAACAGCCCGTGATCAGGAAGAGAATCACTGGAGAGTTGATCGCCAAGCTGCGCTGGACTGTGCTAAAGCGAACAGCACAACAGACCGGCAGGCAGTCAAAGCACCCCTGCACCTCTCTAGCAGACCGGAGTTGTCCACCTCCTTGCCGCGGGTGGGCAGGGGCACAAAGAAGTTGCCATTGGCATCTCGGTACCTGCAATATACCGGGAATCAGCCAACAGGACATCCATGTGGAGAGTCATGCAAGCCGTCGGTGGCATTTATGGCAGCCACAAATGCACCAAGCCGCCCGATCAGTCAGCTCTAGCAAAGCGCTGTACAAAGTGGTTGCCTGGCGTAATCCGGCGACCGCACTGCAGCCAGACGCAGCTGCAGTGAGTTCAGAGCGCCCACCAGCGCGTGGCGTCGCCAGAGCGCAGCACAAACGTGAGGCCGCCAATTTCCGCGTCGGCCGGCACGGTCAGGTTGACGCGCTGCAGCGGCACCTTGGCGCCCTGCGCGACAGTTCACGGGTTGCCGCCAGCCAAACCTTAGAGAAATTCTCACATGTTTGCGACTTCCTTGCTTTTTTTGAAAAGTTGTCCGTTCGTCTCCAGCAACTGGGAACAAGGTTAATGCAAAGTCCTGACCCCCCCACCACAAGACAGGACAGAAGCATTTACCCAGCCCCCGCACCTGGACTTCGACGTCGCACTCCTCCTCGTTGCACGCGTCAAACGTCGTCTCGCAGGCGATGCCGCCCTCCAACGCCACCGTCTCCCCAGGCCACAACGGTTTCGGGGGCCGGATCCAGTCGCGGGAGCCTGGGGAGGCGAGGGGAGAGGAGAGAGGGCCAATGCATGGTGGGATCATGCGTACCTCAATTGGGAGCAGCAGCCTGACTAAGCTGGGCGTATGCAATTCAATTTCCTGCAGGAGCTTGGAGGCAGAGGCAGGGCAATCGAAATGCGAGGTGCGAGGTCCCACACAATTGTTGATACTGTAATGGGTAGGGTTCGGCGCACTTCACTGCACCGTGCAGCCCGTGCATGCGCACGCACCCTGCTTGGTGATGCCCCAGTGCAGCACCAGGTCATTGGCAGAGTCCGTGGTCAGGGAGATCTGGGGAAAAACAAGATGGGGAGGAAGAAGGCATCTCAAATAGGCCTCCGGCGGGTGAGTGCCCAGTTGTCGGGCGGCACGGGTGTGGAGACCTGCCTGCGGGTCAACAGCCCGTCGGCATATACCTGCGAACGTTCCCCCAACAGCAACCCCCTTGCCATCGCCCCCGCAGCGCACAGAGATGGGTCCGTCGCCAGCGCCGTCGCCGTCCTCCCCACGCGGCTGCTTGACTACCGCCAGCAGCTCGGCCTTGGAGCCCAGCTGGAACACACGCCGCCAGCGCGTGGCTCCATCGACTGGGGAGGGTGGAACGGGGGCGAGGGGTGGACGCTTGTATGAAGAGAGGATGCATGAATCAGTCGAACCCAAAAAAGAGTGGGTTGTCAGTTTGTAAGCACCAGCATCCACTGAAACGCACTCAAACCCAGCGGTTGACCACGCGGCGCAACTCTTACTCACCCGCAGCGCGCTGCACAAGGAAGTCGAGGGGCTTGACCTGCTTCGCCTTCTTGTCCTCCGAGAGGGCAGGAGCGGTGACCTTCTGCAGGGGTTGCCCATCAAGAATCCAGGATGCATGTCAGCGCTGGTGGCTAAGTGCCCCTCAGCATGCCAGCATGGCCGCCCCGTTGTGCCCACTGCTCGCCTCAGATGCCGCGTAGCTACTTGAGCAGAGCAGCAACAGGCACGTATTCTGAGGCATGCACACCGGCAACAAGGGCGAAGCCCGCACCTTGATCATTTGAAGGGGGTTGCGCTTTGCCGCTCCCAACGACTTGCCAACCTCCGCCGGCGCCTGCTGTTTCTTTTGCTGCTCGCGCTGCCGCCGCTCCTCCTCCTCTCGCTCAGCACGGTCCCACTCCTCCTGCTGGCGCTTCTGCTGCACATCAGCGGCCTGGCTGTCCGCTGTGGCCTTCTGCTGCTGCTTCTGGCCACCGCCCTTGAGGTTCTCTTCAATCTGCTGCAGCGTCATGCCCGAACGCAGCTTCTCCTCAATGCGGTTGCGCGCGGGCGCCCCAAAGTCAGCGCCCTGTACACGCATGGAGAGCGTTGAATTGGCATGTCACTGTAAGTGTGCGATGGCTGTTCTGGAAGTATGTGTTTCATGGATTAGATCTCAATCACATGATCGGTGACAACAACTCCGCCTACCCCGCTGCATTGCCCTGCCCACCTGCGGTTTGCCGGCCTCCTCCCACATCACAAAAGCCTGAACCGCGATGAGCGAGTCCGGGATGACCACCGGGCGCGACGGCTGGCGGAGCGGGGAGGTGCAGGCAACATGTCAGTAGAGCAGTGGGTACGGCCTCGGCAAAAAAGCCGCATGGAGGTGGGCTGGCCCACTGCGTGCCGCGAAACAGCATCCCTGACGTCGCAAACGCAGTCTTGAGAAATCTGCACATCAGCCGCAAGAACCTTTGTGGTTGCGGCGTTTCAGCTGGGGCAGCACAGTCATCCGCTCAAGTGACCAGCGGACGGCCCTTGCCGCAACCCTCTCGGTACCACAACTCGACCCGCAGCCCCCGCCGCCACGCACCTCAGGAGCTGCCCGTGGCGACACAGGGGTGCGTGACGCCACAGCGGTGCTGGTCTGGCCTAGGATCTCGTCAACCACCTGTCAGTTGCAAAGGGAGAAGATAACCGCAGGGCTCAGAAATCATTGTAATGCGTGGGGCATTGGTGGCGCAGCAGGCGAGGCATGCGCACTTTGCATTGCGTCGGCCGATTTGGAGGTTTGGCCCAACTATTTGCTTACGTTGATCTTGTAGTTGGCATAGAGCACCTCGCCGCGTGCCACCCTGCGAAGCTCATCCAGCGGCCTGAGAGGAGTGGAGAGGGAGTAAAAGGCTTGCAGGGCGCCCCCGCCGTGTGTGCTTGCTGCGCAACTGGCGCCTACAACAGCAAGAACGCGGCGTTCTGATCATTATGCACAGCGGCGCACGGACATGGGGCCACACAGGGCTCTGTCACGCAACCTGTTCTAGAGATGAACCCACCTGCCAGCGCGCAGCAGCGTCTCCATCTCCTCCACGGCGGCGTCATACTCCATGTTGGCTTGAGCCTTCATGGCAGCAGTAATAGTGAGGGGGCGCGGCAAATTGATGGGTCGTCCCTGGGGCAGTCGGCAACTGCCTCTGTGCAGCTGGTAAAGACCTCTGGGCCTGGCAATTAACGGACACTGGGCGGCAGCAAACACTTCGAAGCAGCAACCCTACGGCGGGTGCAACCAACCCCTCGCCGATCCTCCCAAGCAAAAAAGCAAGCAAGAAAGCCCGTGGCTCTTTGTCACCCCTGGTCCTCCAGCCCCCCAAGAAACGCCCGCCGCTCACAGTGCTGCGCTGCGGGCGGCCACCGTAGTCCCATTTGATCCACGCCCAGGTGTCACACAGATCCCGAGGAATGTCGGGGATGTCCTCGCGCTCCGGGCGCAGCGGGACTGCAAAGTTTGTGCTGTGGAAGTCATACCTGCGGGGGCGAGCACAAGCAAGCGCAGGAGGACGTAGGGAGAGCAGGTTTGGATTGAATGCTGGGACCCACAAGACCGGCAGGCGGAAAGGACAAGGTCGCTGCTCTGACGCATTACTGTACTTAGTTTGCTGTGCACTCGCTGCCCCAAATATTCACAACTCATGGCAGTACCTGCCTGCCACAACTCCTGGCAACACCCTGCTCTTTGTGCACGACCACCCACCATGTGTTGGTAGCGTCGTCTTTGAGCACAAAATTGAGGACGTCACTCGCCTCGTCACCAGGCAGCGTAATGACCACCTCGCTCTTGCCGTTCCCCCCTCCACTCACAGGCCTGGAGGGATCACATCGCAGGGGCGCCGTCAGGTGGGGCAGCAGCTAATCTGGTGATCTCATTGGTGCTGACCTGCCCGTGTAGGTGCAGATGATGACCGTCATGAATCCTAACCAGTATCACACCAGTGCAAGAACCGCAAAGCCTCAAATGCACACGCCGGCGCGCCCACCTGAATGCCGTCTGCAGTGCTCTGTCCTTGTACTGCCGCGTGCCATCGGGCCGCACGGCCTCTCCGGGCAGCCGCCAGCCGCCCTTGTAGTCCTTGCCACCCTCCAGGCCCCAGTGCAGCAGAAGCCGACCAGCCTCAAGGTCGGTGGTCGCGCGGATCACCTGTGCACCGCCCTCGCTGCTGACCTCGACCTGACAGTGCATGCATCAGGTGATTTGATGGGGACATGGTGAGGGCGAGCATGAGGATGGTAGACGGCAGAGCAGCTTAACGGCATTTGCGGCGCCGCACTGTAAGGATTCGCCTCGAGGCCAGCCGCGGCAGAGCTTCAGCTGCATGCGCCACAACAAGGTGCCACACACAGGCGTGGTCTCTGCGCACCGTTATGGTTGCATTCTTGGGCAGGGTGAACCTCTTCACGAGGACATCAGTGCCCGGCTCGGCAGCGGCCACCGCACGCACTTTGAGGGCAGTGCGTCCTGTGGCGCCACGCATGCGGCAGGCGGCACATGCGCAGCTCAGCGCAGGGCGAGGGCGACTAGAAGGCTGCATATAAGCAAGATATGCACATGCGTGAAGTTGCCGCCGTTGTTTGTAGTGGCGATCACATGCGGCGGCCTGCCGGCGTTGCAGCACCATGGCATGCGTCGGCAGACTGCTGCTGACGTCTTGTGCCTTCACCATCTTAACATCCATCTGTCGCTATATATATTAAACCATACGATCCTCGTCTGATCGCATACGACCGCGTGCTTTTGGACCCCTACCTAGAAAAGCCCCACGCGATCTCGCCAAAAGTGGCCTCTGCAAGCCTCCGGCTGGCCGCCCGGCCCTGGAGGCTCCCTGAGCCAGGTGCATGGAGCGTTAGCTGGCGCTGCGTCTCGTGTCGATCTACCGACCGGGGCAATAGGGCAACGGTCTGCTGGAATCGAGTGAGCGCAAGATATGGAGAGCAAAGATTGCACCTTGGCCACCGTGTCTGCACGTGTTTTGAGTCGCGATGGTGGCCTGTCCAACGATGAGCCGCAGTCGCCGGGGTCGGTAGCTGATGCGTGGCTGCTCGACCCACGGACCCCATGTTGCGACTATGGTAGTGCGTAGACGTAACATTGGGGCTTCGTGTTGTGGGACGGTCGCAACAAACACTTACATTCATGTAAAGTACCCGGCGGTTTTTTGGGATGGGGAATGGTGTCCAGCCCGCACCAAACAGCAAAGCAGGCCTGCACAAATGTTCGTCAGAGCAGTCTGAGAATCAATTGTTTGATCTCTCCTTCATTCGAGACTTGTCTGCATTGGTTTGCTGTGCCGCCGTCACTCGTCGCCTAGCCCTCCAGAACCGGGCAAGAAGAGTCTCTGCACGCATGCCAGCAGTCCAAATTGTCACATGGTGCAAGTCCACAGGAACGCAGCACTGCTACTATTGCAGCACCACCCCACCCACATGTCCTCAGCCTCATGTTGGTGCCGGTTTGAGTGTACCTGTCAATGCACTCTTTGATGGCAAGGGTACGGGGTTAGGTGTTTGGTCCCATGGCAAAGCATGCGCGTGAAAAGTAGCGCACAGTCAGTCCAGCAACAGGAAGTGAGAGTGCACCCCCCTCCCATCGCATGATTGCTGTGCATCGAGCCGCACAACTCCAGAAAGACCCGCTTGCTCTCAAGACTGAGCATCGAGGCGTATGCTGCTTGATCAGTGGCTTTTTGGGGCATGTCCAAACATGTCTTGAGGTTGATTGGACATTGAGCGGCAGCTTTGTTACCAATCGGCTGGTTGGCTCGTCCTGCTTAGTCTGGCACTGAGCTGACACAGACGTCCAGACAAGGCAACGTACTCCCTAGTGAGCCTGGGAGTGAGCCAATGATGATCACAGCCGCGCAACCTCCGCCCCCCTGCACCAATATGAATAATGACTGGGAAGTACGTCGTCAAGGTACTCAATGGAAAAAGATGAGTGAGCAGTGATTGCACAAATTCCAACTTCTCGGCCTACCCTGCCGTCGGCATGTCGTCCTCTTGCCGGCATCCCGCTGCCCAGCGACGGTGGCGACGACCCAGCACCAGCAGCTTGCGAGCGACCCGCCCCACCCGCCGCGGTTGAGGTTGGGCGCACACCATCAGAGGTCGAGCAAACACGATGTTCAATCAATGCAACTAAATTCACTTTTCTTTCGCGCTTGTTGATCCGTGGCAGATCGCTAGCAGGGTGTTGCAGGCGTTGCCGCGGCCACAGAGCAACGCAGAACCATGGGGAAGCTTGGGGAGCTTCTGGCGCACCCGGAGGAGATTATACCCCTGGTATGTGATCAACCCCCGCCAGGCGCTGCGTTGGGCCCAGCCTGCGGAAGCGATCGGCCAGCTCACACAAAGGCTGCCCCGCCCGTTCCTTGCAGGCGAAGATGTTTTATGCCAGCAAGCAGGCTTGCAAGCTGCCATTGGACCCCAAGCTCGCATTCTGTTACGACATCCTCAACACGGTGTCGCGCAGGTGGGCGGCCCCCCCAGGCGCGGCTGCTGCGGCTGCAATGTCTCAATTTCTTTGGGTGTGCCACACTTCCATGGTTGCGCCTCTGCAGTTCGTCCACATCGTTTGCTCCGAGGGCCCTGCCACACTTCAACCAACCACCTCACCCTGCCCCGCACCTGTCGCAGCTTTGCGGTTGTCATTCAGCAGCTGCCAAACCCGCTGCGCGACGCTATCTGCGTGTTCTACCTGGTACTGCGCGGCCTGGACACCGTTGAGGATGACATGGCCATCCCCAACGACAAGAAAATCCCAGACCTACTCAAGTTCCACGAGTGAGGGCCGGGAGGGCGCGCCTGCCCGCCTGGTCCATGTGTCGTGTTGCGGCCTGCAGTCCGCTTGTATGGGGTTAAATGAGCAAGCAGCAAGGGAGGCAGGCAGAGCAAGCAGACAAGGCTGCCCATCCCGGCGTTCTGCAGGCGCGCAAGTGACCATCTCGCAGCGTAAGCGCTGCATTGGCCCGGTCATCCCCACCAAGTCGTGATCCCCACGTGCTGCTGTCCCTGGCCTGGCCAGGTACATCTACCAGCCGGGCTTCAACATGCAGTGTGGGTACGGTCACTACGTCCGGCTGATGCGGGAGTTTGGCACCGTGGTGGACGTCTTCCTCTCCCTGGATGCCAGGTTCCAGGTGTGGGAGGGATTGCAGGGGCCCAGGGCTTGCACGACTTGAGGGCTGATTGGTCTGCATTGCTTCCAGGAGCCCGCCCGGCAACGCACGATGGCGCGCAGCCTGCGCGTGCCCAATCTGGAATGCAGCAGTGTTGCGTCAGAAGTTGGGTAGAATCACAGATGTTGTGGGCCAGGACGCTCCCATCCTCCCTTCCTTCCTCACCCCATCCGTACGCTCCTGGTTCGCACCCGCCCGCCCCGTCTCCTCGTCCCCCAACTCGACCAGTCTGTCATCGCCGACATCACGCGGCGCATGGGGGCGGGCATGGCAGAGTTTGTTGAGCGCGAGGACTGCGAGACTCGGGAGCAGTACGACTTGTACTGCCACTACGTGGCGGGGCTTGTCGGCATCGGGCTCAGCCAGCTCTTTGGTGAGTGGGGGGTTGGGCGGCTGGCAGATTGCGAGCCGCGAACTCCCCTGAGGCTGACGGCCTGGTCAGGCATCTCTTGCAAAGCTTGTTGGGGGTGTGGTTTGGGTGTGGTGTGGGGCAGGGGTGCTGTGCCTGAGGCAGCACTGGCTGCGGTTGACAGCCTGGGTGGTTGGGCAGCAACAGCAGGTGACCAGGGCGTTCTGTGGTGCCAGCCCTCATTGGCTTAGAATGGAGGCTGGCTTGCTGGCTTGACCATTGCCGCGCCACAAGTGTGGTGGCGGCCGCCTCATGCCACCCTCGCCGCTCATGCGTCCGACATCACTCCGACGTCACTCCACTCACGCACTCGGATCCGACAATGCCCCGCAGCCTCCAGCGGCCTGGAGTCTGACTACTTTGCGAAGAACGAGGACCTGTCAAACCACATGGGGCTGTTCCTGCAGAAGACCAATATCATCCGCGATTACCTGGTGGGACGCGGGGATGGGGAGACGGTGGGACGGCTTTGGGGTCCCATCCTGAGTACAGGTTGGGAATGTGCATTCGGCCGTACCTTCTTGGTGCCCGTGTTGGAGTTGTTGCAGGTTGTGTGTGAACAGGGGGGCGGGCTGCCAGTGTGATGACGGCCGGCGAGGATGTCCAGTGCGCAAAGATGGTTTGAAGGGGCGCAGGCAAGGCGCCCACCCTGCAGCCCGCCTCGCCACGCCGGCGCCGCCCGCCAAACGCGCGAGGCTGGGCCCGGGCCGCGGCGGGGCGTCTCGGCGGCGCGGGGGGCGCCGCTCCTCGCGGGCATGAGAAGACCTCACCCTGCACCGCTGGCGCGCGCCTCGGCGCACCCGCTCGGCGCATGAGCCGGCCGACCCTGGTGGCTGCGGTTGCGGCTACAGCGCCCGACCCGAGTACCGTGCCCCCCCCCCCCTGCTCCACCCTACCACTCCCGGATCCGCCTAATAGCTGTCCTGGGGCTTTGCAAACCACTTTGGATTCCAGCTCTTCACCCAATCCCTCGCCACCACCCTCAACACGCGCACCCCAACCCCAGGAGGACATCACGGAGGAGCCTGCCCCCCGCATGTTCTGGCCCAGGGAGGTCTGGGGCCGCTACGCCTCCAGCCTGGACGAGTTCAAGGACCCGGCCAACAGGACCGCGGCCATACACTGCCTGAACGACCTGGTGGGTGCGGGCCTGGGCTGGTGGTCGGCATGCATGTGCGCTGGAATTGGCGGCATCGAGGAGGGTGTTTAGGTCTCTGCAAGAGGCAGGGAGCGTTTGAGCGAGCTGGCCGGCGTTGAGCTGTTGCGAGGGGCGCAAGGGGCGCCGACTGGGACGGCCTCGCCAGCAGTCGAGCGGCTCGCTGGGCAGCGTGGGGCCCACGAGGCAGTTTCGCGACCCCCACCAAGCCGCCCGCCCACCGTCACCCGCCCTCGGCACCCTGCCTCAGCTTCTCTCCCCTCCCCACCACCCTTTGGGATCGCAAACTCCAGGTGACGGACGCGCTGCGCCATGTGCCGCACTGCGTGGCGTTCCTGCAGCAGCTGCGCGACCCGGACGTGTTCAGGTTCTGCGCCATCCCCCAGATCATGGCGGCCGGCACCCTCTCGCTCTGCTACAACAATGGCGGCGTGTTTGAGGGTGAGGCCCCATGAGGGCAGTGCTCAGCTGTGCCTTCATGGGGCACAGCTGGACGTGCTGCATGCATTGTTTGGGGCACATGCTTGTTGGATTAGGGTCATTGGTTGGAACTCCTACCCCTCCGGCTTACAGCAGGTGTCGCTGTGGGTGTGAGTGTGCCACGCTTTTCCCGCCTTTCACGCACGCTCCTGCTCACCATGCAGTCACCTCCACCCTCCCGCGCATCCCTGACACGCGTTGCGCCCCGCCCACCAACGCGTGTTGACGCCCGCAGGCGCCGTGAAGCTGCGCCGCGGCGAGACAGCGCGCGTGTTTGATGAGCTCCGCACCATGGCCGACGTGCACGCCTGGTTCGGCCGCTACCTGCGGCTGCTGCGGCGCAAGGCCCTCTCAGTTGCCAGCCACGACCCCACCGCCAAGGTGGGTCCCAGCGGCGGCCGTGCCTCGCAGCCGTATGTTTCTGGCTGTTGGTCGCTGCTGTGTTGCGTGTTCTGAAATCTGCAGGGCAGCGGGGATAGCACGAGCATGCCGCGTTGAGAGAGGTAAGGACGAGGATGCCGGCAGTTGAGATGAGGTGGCACACCAAAATCGTGAACCCACGGTCACACCACCTAGGACAGCCCCGCAGGCGCAGCCTCCGGCACCGGCCAGCCCTCCCCGGCCCGCCCCGACTTCCACCATTTGCCCCGGCCCCCGCGCACCCGCGCCGCCCCCCGCCGTGCGCTCTGCGTGCGCCCGCAGGAGGCGCGTGCTGCGGTGGACAGCTGCCTCAAGATCGTGGATGAAGGGTCGGCAGAGGTGCGGCTTCTCCCCGCCCCAACAACTGTCGCGTGGCCCGTGCCTCTTGGGTTGTCCTGTTCAGCCCGCCGCTTGTGTATGCCTGCGGGACGTAACGGCAGGCTTCGGGGAAGGGGGGCCGCAAAGCATGCGCTTCATCAGATCCTGAGCTGCGCCATGCCAACTGCACAGACCCCAGCGCGAGGCTTCCATCCCCCTCCCGCCTACGCCCTCCGCCCCGCGCCACGTGCCCACTCCACGCCTGTGCCCTCGTCGGCCCCGCCGGCCCTAGGTGGGGGATGCGGCCACCCTGACCACCAGCGAGCGGCTGGGAGGCATGTTGGCGCTCATGCTTGCCGGCGCTTTCTTCTACCGAGCCTGGGGGATGGGCGTCGGGTCGGCAGGCGCGCTGGGCGCGGCGGCGGCGCGGCGCGCCGTGCCGGTTTGGGCGGTGGCCAGCTGGGGCCGGCCCACCGCAGCATCTGTACCTGCTGGCGCGCTGCCATCTTTCCAGTGGGGAGGGGAGCTTTTGCCTGGCAGCCCTACTTCCTCCTGCCCCAACCCAGCCTGTGTTGACACCCAACACCCGTTGTTGCCCCCAGCCCCTGGCTGCCCCCAAATTTCAGCGCCCCCACCCACTGGCAAACCCCGCAGGCGCCGCCCTGCTGGGCAGCGGCCCTCTGCTTCCACTCACGGACGCCGGCCTAGAGAGGTACCTGTCGCTGGTGATGCTCGCCGCCTGCGTCGTGCGCGTGATCGCCGTCAGGGCGTGATGACCGCGCCCGGGCGCCCACCAACCTCCCCGCGTGGCCTGCTCAGCAGTCATACCGCGGGTCCCCAGCGCCCGGGCCGGGGCGGCCACCTCCGCCGCGTCTCCGCCCAATCGCACCCCGCCGCGACGGTTTTTGCGCGCGTGCGTGGCGCCTACGTCAGCGGCGCCGGCTGCGCGATAGTGCTGCGATGGGGCCGGTAGCCGCGGGCGGACGCCCCGTAGTCAGGCCCAGAACAGCCAGTTCTCAGACAGCTACGGTCATCACGCGTCCTGTGACGCGTATGCATTAAAATTTGTCCCTCCGCCTCTTGTGGATAAAACGGCCCAGGGGCATTTTATGCGTTGGTGTTTTCACGTCGCCTTTGTCGCTAGTCAGCCAGTGTTTTAGGGACCACAGCTCAGGGTGCCCTGACGTCGTTACGCCAGCCAGTTGCCTGTGCTTTCTGCTCAGTGCCACATCCGTTGCTTCTCAACCCAACGAATCATGCCTCATACTGCAAAAACCGCACCCCCTGGTGTATGCTGAGCTAGCTTGCCTCAAACCTCACTCCACCCTTGGCCTGAATCATGCCTGTGTGAACCGGCAGGAGCACCTGTCGATGTGCTCCGGCAGGGGTGTCACAGCTGTGACGAGTGTTGCCCTGGCGGAGCTTGTGGGAGCAACGCGTGTGCCTGCGCAGCAAGCGCTTGCTTTAGATCTACCCACAGACCCCAGTGTAAATTTGCCCCCGACTTGGCCTCTGTTTTGCAATTTGCCTCTGCACAGGCCCACCAGGGGAGCTGCTGGCACAGCCTGATGCCGCTCTGTGTGCTTTTATATGTGTAGTTCGCTGGTACGAGAGGCCGTATGGTTGACAAGGCAAAGCCAGAGAATGATCTGCAGTTTACGACAGGCTGCTGAAGCAAATATGAACCTGCATCAGGCGGCAACAAGCCAGTGCCGTCGACCTCCTTTGGGGGCCCGGACGCAAAAGTCTTGGGCTTGGAAGGCAAATGCAGAGCAGGCAAGTGCAGGTAGGCATTTGAATCAGGGGACGATCGTGAAATTTGCATGCATGCTGGGTCAATCCATGACCATTTTGGTTGATGAGTTGATCAGGCACCTCGATGTTGTTGATGTGGCCTCATGAAGTCTAACGGCATGCAAGACAATGAAGAGCACCTTGGACAAAATAAAGGAAATGGCACTGGTCAAACTCTCAAATCAATGACTATGTTAGGCGAGCCTGTCGGTAAAATGTTTGCCGCTGATCATCATATGCCAGCCCACCACTTTGTGACACCTTCGATTGCGAACAAACATGCCTTGCTGAAATTTGACCCTCAGCAGACTAGTGAGGCAGCCCGGTGTGCATTTTGCACAATCAGGTCAGAGCCACTTGGCAAGTGTGATATGGCTGTGGAGGCGGAACCAGTTGGTGGAGCGCTTGGAAACATCCCACCTTTTGCAAGCAACAAACCTCACGTGAGAGGCAATGGAAGGACACTGTGTACGCACAAAATGGTGCTGGCAAGAGCGATGATCCAACAGAAAGGCCAGCTGCAGCATTGTGAAAGCTGCACCTGCTGCTCGCCTTGCGCCTGCATTCCCATGTGCTGCTGACGGTGCCCGGTGCAGCACACAGGCATCACGGAATTATGTGCACCCCTGCGAGTGCTCAACAGGCCATCCTGTGAACGGCGAGCATCGGGCTCGGTCGCTGTGACGCGTGCTGTAGCAGTGTGCAACAGCGAGTGGCTGTCATTCGGGTGCGCCCCCCAAATGCCACCACCGCTTGGCAGGCAGGAAGAGGCAACCGCTAGGCAAACAATGGTGCAACGCAGCTGGTCAAGCGCTGGCCGACTCGACCAGCGTACACTCATCGGATGAATCTAAGCAGCCCAGGCAACGCCTTTTGCCATGGTACCACTCGTATTGCTTCCCAGCCATGCCTTGAAAGCATACCGACGTGCCAAGCAATCTGAAGCTGCCAGTGAGCGGCCAACACTGCAAGATCAATTGCTGGCGCTCACTGCCATGTTTTGCGCTGTCCCGCCCCAGAGGCTAGTGCAAACTCAACCACAACCCGTCCCTGGCAAGCAGCATCCCGTGCTGCGGCAGCCAGCTGGACCCTGGGCAGCCCACAACAGCGCCTCACAGCAAACTGCAGGCATGGTCGCTTTGGGCCACATGGTCCCCACGCTCCCTGCAGGGCAGCTGCCAGCTGCCCTGCAGTGCCCAAGGCCGGCGGGCCTCTGAGACGAGATTGGTGCGTTGATTATCCTGCTGCCACCACCCCGAGCCGTCGGCCACAATTCGGCCTTCAGCGCCGCTCCTTGCGGCCCACCAGCAGGTATGCCCCAAACGTCAGGGCGTGCATCACCAGCAGGTAGCCCGCCAGGATCACCACCGTTAGCCAGATGGGCTTGAAAAGGTTGAAGTAGTCCAGAATGGATCCTGGGGGTTTCATGGGGTTGGTGGCCAGGTCTTCAGTAAGGGAGGACAGTGTTGTTGGGGCCAGGGGGTGCAGGGTGAGTAAGTTTTGTTATTAAACTGCAGCTCTACCATGCACACGCTTCTCAAGGGTGCACATGATCCTAGACAATGTGGGCTTGCATTGGATGGGACGATGACAGGGTAAGAAGTGGGAGGGGACAGGTTGAGTTTGGAGGGGTGCCGACGAGACGGTTGGACGGATGCGTCAGGTCTGAGCTGACGATACAGGCGGTCCTTGGCATTCTACTCCTGCTGACGCGATCAAGCGAGCCATCGATGCAAACAGTAGAGGTCATGCACATGCAAGTTTGCCCAGAGAGCATCGCTGCAGGATGCCCATGGCCCCAGCCTGCCCGCCCTCGGCTCCTGCGCACCCAGGTTGACAACGCAGCCGGCCCCCGGGTTCCTGAGGGTCGACGTCACGATGCCAGACTGCCAGACGAGGATGACATATGAGGTTGCGGCATGCTTGGGCAGGTTGACCCTTAAAAGATGTGCATGCAATGCTACCACCAGTGGCCGCATGCAGCTGGGAACAGGTCCTCAAATGCAGCATGCCCTACAGCCACCTGCATTCGGCTGGCGCCACCATCGTCATGACACGCGCCCCGAGGCTGAGGGGCCGTTCCAACCTGCAGGGATGTCGTGTTGGGCAGGAAGCTGGGCAGGTAGCCTATGACGTCTAGTGGCAGGCCGCCTGCGCAGCTGTAGCTGCCACCCTTGAACTCTGCTGTGGCGTATCCCTCAAAGGCGTAGGCCATGGCAGAAATCCATCTGTGGGGAGGGGCATGGTGTGGGCATGTTTGATGTTGCCCTTGGCCCCAAGGCGCAAAAACAACTGTGTTTGATTTGCTGAGACCATGCACCTGAGAGCCCTTTCTAGCTGTTTCAAAGGTTCAATCATACAGCAACTCATGCTTTCTGTGCTCCCTTTGCTGGACTCTTGCTCACCTGAGGTGGCTCAGCCAGACCTGGGACATGTCCACAAACCGTACCATGAAACTGGGGTTTTTCACAGGGCGTGATGGGGAGAATTGCACCTAATTCAGGGCCATGAGCAGCGCTGTGATCTGTCAGTCACCATTTTGATGCTTCACGGGCACACACCCCGCCCTTACTTGGCCCCTCACCCCATTCACCCGCCACCTTGATACGAACCTGTCTCACACTCACCAACCCAATCCCTCCATCAAACCACCCCTCTCACTTGCTCATGAGCAGGTTGACAGCCGTCCATGCGATGGCCACCTGGGGTTGATGACCAAAAGCATTTGCAGGAGTGCCAAAAGGGTATAAGGCACACTACAGTTCTATCAGAAGGGCACGTGCTGCAGGTGCACAGCAACAGAAGCGTTTGTCACCCGCTGTTGTGATTTATCCCACCCCTGCTGCACCCTCATGACAGTGTTGACCACGACACCAGTGATACAGTTCCCATCGTCGTCACTTGCCATGAATGCAATGTCCTGGTTGGGCGTGATGACGGCTGAGCACGACAGCACCTGAGGATGGAGTTCGTCGGCGGAACAAAGCGTGAATTGGCTGTTGAGGCACTGCTGCATAGACAGCTGTGGGTTGCAGCTTGGGGCGCACACTGGGTGCGCAGGCCTGGCAGCCGCCCACATGCAGCAATGACTCTGGGTCCCAGCAGTCTTGGCCAGCCCACCTGGGCTGCGATGAGGTACAGCAGGATGCTGATGGCGCAGTTTGACACCACAGCCACCGCCTCCATGCGCAGCCCCGCCATGCCGTACAGGATCAGGGAGAAGGACTGTCGGCGTTTGGGCGGGGGTTGATGGAGGGAGAGTAAGCACAGGGTTGCGCAGGGGGGAGTTGATGGGTACACCAGGGAAGCATGTACATGTATGTACCTTGCGGGGGAGGAGACCTGCACGTTTGAAGAGTGCAGAAAGGGTGAGCAAGAGGTGCTGTGCACACCACCTCTTGTGAGCACAGGTAACAGGAGGTCACGGGTGCAGCAGGGGGGACGCTGGCCTAATTTGCTGGTCGGCGAGCAGTGACGGGAGCCGTAGCGAGCGATTTTAGACAAATACCTGCGTAAAATTCAACCACTCTGTTTGGGGGCGCTGACACCGCCAATTCGGCGTTGCCCGTACCAGGATACATTACCCACCATCCAAGTGGATGGACCGCAGAGAGTAGGGGCAAGTGCAGATGGGTTACGGGGCTTGCTGACTGCACTGTGATGATTGGCACCCACCTGCTTTGCTTGGGGACCCCTGCACCTGCAATTCCAAAACACATCAACACGCCGAACTCCAGGTGCGCAAAAAGTCTAACCCATCCAAGACTTTCTAATACTGCCATCTGCACGCAACGAGTCTGCCCTGAGCTGGAACCATAACACCTGCCTTCCCTGGTTCACAACAACGCTAATCCAAGGAGCTGCCCACTCACGGACGTAATTGCACATGCCACACATCCCCAGGCCGATCACGCAGCACCCACCAGCACGTTGAGGACCGCAAAGGGCAGTATGGCCAGCTGCTTGGCGGCGTAGAAGGCGGAAGGCTTGTACAGCTTTGAGGTGGCGTCAGCCACAAAGTACTGCTTGTCCGCGCTGTACAGGGACATATAG